GGGTGATGAGCACAATGCATCGTTGGGAAAGATGCCTCTATAGACACAGGAATATAATCTTCCCACAACTTCATGTTGTATAGGTCTGAAAGAAGTCATTATATACATTATATTTCAATCCCGATCTATGTATCCTTGATAATTTCTATTGTTTCACCGTGCGGAGGTTTGGCATCAGGGTTTTCTCCTTTCTTGTGTTATTCACGTTTACTCAGCCAGTCCTCAGAATATAAAACACAAATCTAAAAGTAAATATTAAAAAAAAAAACTTTTTCAAGCTGTAAAGTTAATTTATTTATCTCTCTTCCTCCATAGTGATGTGATCTCAAACTCTTCTCCAACATGGCTCCTTTCCAACAATGGTTTGGCCTCGCGCCAACGTTCTATAAATGGTGCGAAGTAGTGACAGGGTTAGGGAACATAGACAACAATAAAATACTTTATGTGTCAAATATATTTGGGCGAATAATTTTAAGTCACAATATTGTATCGTAGAAAACTAGGAAAGATAAACTTCAGGATGACACGGAAGAGTCCAAAGATATATATAATAACCCAGGTTCCTGGAGCGCAGAGCGCCAACTACCGTTACTCGCGTCCTGATTTGATATATTGCTGAGATGAACCAGTTGACCAGAAAGTTCCATGCTGATGTTGAGTCTGGAAGGCTGGCCATAGATCTAGGATTGAGGTGGGTCAGTCCAAGCAGGATAGCACATCAAGTTTAGAACAAATCAACATTTATGAAATATTAGAAGGCAATGAGGGATTTACAATATATATATACAGTAGAACCTCTCTGTAAAGGACACCTAATAGCAGAGCTAAAGTGTCCTTTAGGGAGAGGTGTTCTCTTACCGGAGAGTTGCTAAATAGTAAAAATGGTAATTTTGCAAATGAAAACTGTCTATTGTAGAGAGGTGTCCGCTAAAGGGAGGTTCTACTGTAAACTAAATGAATAATTTGAAGATAAATGAATCTCACACAAAATATGCGCATCAACCCCATGATGATACAATATTGATTATCTTGATGATAGAGGTGATAGAGGATTATAAAGGTTTTATAATTTATATTATAATGCCTTGCCCCAAATGCTTTTTTTTTTCTGACGAAGACAAATATTTTGGTCGAAACGTCGAGAAAATAAAACCTCTTCTGGCCGAAGTGTCTTTTATTTTAAGCAACATCGATTGTTAGAATTAAGCTATCTACCAATTCTCCTCACTTTGCCTGTGAACACGTGTTAATGAGTTCTTTGGCAAGAATGAGAGGCTATTGGAGCATTTTTTAAATTGTTATTATAAAAAAAAAAATTGCCTAATGCGGGATTCGACCCTGGGTCATAGCGGTCAAAAACCAACGGTTTCGACCACTACTTCCCAGATCCTCAAATATGTGTGGCGAGTCCTTGTGCTAGAGGTGGAAGGGGGGCAGGAAGAATACGGAATGGAGGTTGTGTCCGAACAAGGGTCCACAACAATAGTGAAAAAAAAAAGATAAAAGTTTTGCTCTTAAATATACAATCTATTTACAGAAATCAAATTTGGTAATTTAAAATCTTGGCCTTAAAGGCAATTAGTGTCCTTAAATTCTGGAAGTTATTTACCACATTGGAAATTTCTTTGGGACTATAAATCTTAGTGTCAGTTTCTGTAAGTTATTCACAATGTTGGAAATGTCTACAGGGTTATAACTCTAGCTTTGACAATCCACTTGGAGACTATGGCCAGTCCAAGTACGCTGCGATTCCATGCGATCTATAAGCATTTTATGAAATCCTCTTAGTTGCGTCCATGGAAATATTTAACTATTAACATAACTGGGACATTTTTCTATGACACAAAACATAGAAATGTTTTTGGTAGAAAATCTCTCAACAACACAATAAAATAAAAAATACTTCTTCCATCAAAAAAGACATCTCGATCATCTATCTGATGCCAAGCTAGCAGAATTTTCCCACAAACGATGCCACTCATTATAAACAGTATCGTTCAGGCCGGGCCCACGCAAACAGCTTCTTATCTTATCATCACATAAACATTTGGGACACAGATAGCCTCTGTCATTTTTTGAAGAGTTCTCCATTTCTTCCGATCACTGACCCCACTTGTTGCCATGGATGACACACTTGACTCTGCTTTGTCTTCCCCTATACAACTCTCGGAACATTCCTTACTTTGTTAGATATACAATCATTTGTAGCGTCCCCTGACCCAGTTTCTCACGTTCAAGCAATTGTAAATTTTCCATTTAAATTAACACTGATGATACTTTACTATATATAACGAATGAAGTCATTAAGACGCGAATGTTTCTTCTGACAAATAAATCAAACTTCTACTGCCCGTACTGCGATGAAAAAATATATTGGGAGAGCTTGGCTCATCAGTGGTGAACCCTCCCAGCGGTTAAGTTCTAAAGAAGCGGTCTGGTAGATTAAAAAAAAAAAAAAAAATTGGCGAGTTCACCACTGATGAGTCAAGCCCTCCCAATATAATTTTTCATCGCAGTAAGGACAGTAGAAGTTTGATTTATTTGTTAAAATAAACATTCGCGTTTTAATGTCCTCATTCGTTATATATAGATGGCGCGTTATTTCTTTGTATACATTACTATTTATATACCACTAAACGAATGACCCGGCTTCGCCCGAGAATTCCCCCGAATGCAAATGAAAGTGAAAGTACATCAATAATAAATATTAGAAGTACCATATAATAGCAATACAGAAGTAGCACATAAACCACAGGCAAAAAGTGTAAGTGATGGCAAAAATTATATTATAATAGTGTTTAGGTATTTGATTTAATTATTTTTTGAAATCCATTTAGTTGTTTCAAAATCTATATAGTTTAAATAGATGACAGCTTTTCCACCCAACCCCCGAGATACCCGCCCCAGCGCATTAACCCTTGAACTTGCCTGAGTTGAGTGAGTGACTGCGATGAATCTTGACTGCTATGCCCATCTTCTCAGTAAGAATAAGAAAAAAATGGGTTTATAAAAAAAAATAATCCAAAATAATGGCATGTAAATATTTTTCTGAAAAAAAAAAAAAAGAACGCATGGAAATTAGGTAAACATAAATGTTTGATAATGACTGCGACTGCATTTTAAACGATTTTCTTTTTAAAGAAAGAAAAAAAAAAAGGCCAGAACAAAAATTAATAAAAAATACGAAAGCCATTATTTACACACAAGTAACGCTAATTTTGTAAAGTTTTTTTTTTTTTAATTGAATTGTGTGTACGAAACTTAGTATTATAAATTTCTCTCTCAATACTTTTGTAAAAAAAAGTAACACTCGTATAAAAATATATTTAAATATATATATATATACGCAAGCAATTTGAAAAAAAAAAATGCAGAACGCTCATTGGTCGCTTAACTGGCCTGGTATTGTTACTTCGCCTCGTATTTACTCGGCGTAAAAAAAAAAGTTCTTCAAATGAAAAAATTTAATAGCCAAAAATACTAATCAAAATGTAGCCGAAAAATTTCCCCAGGTTTATAAAAAGCGACATGCAAAATTTGGTACCAATTGGTTCAGTAGTTTTTGAGTTTATCGCGAAACAGACAACAGACATTGACTTTTATATATAAGAAGATAAGAGTCATATCTTCCTCTCTTTAATTATCCCATTATATCTCATTATAAAATCTTGTTGACATTTGGTGTAAACCTGGTGTGGATATATTGTATTTGGCAGACGAATTGCTTTGCCCATGTGTTGACATGATCAACATAGTCAGCTATCTTTCTAAAATAAAAACTAAAATTTCATAGCGAGCGCACCTGTGCGTTTCTTTTTAAATAAAACTAATTATCAATTTCCCTTGATAAAATGATAATGATAAAAATAATGAGAGGACCTCTGGATCATCAGTGGTAAACCCTCCCAGCGGTATTTTTCGGTAGATTTAATCTACCATACTGCTGTAATGTTGTATTAGGCTGTTATTAATGTAATCATGTTTACAGATTATTATGTTTAAAACTTACTTTCAGCTTGAATTTTTCTTTTATAAATAAAATACTGCCTTTGTGCGTGTGTGCTATGTAAACTATTCAAAACTAGCGGACGTACCCGGCTTCGCCCGGGTTTTACCCGAGTAAAGGTTTGTCTAACGAATCTCTCAATAAAGTGAACATTTTTTCCCGGTCCCTTGAAAAACACTCGATAAGTTGAATAAAATTAATATTAATTGGTTCCCTCGGTAATTGGAAGTTAAAGGAATAGTATCTTGCCTTGGAATTGTATCATTATTCTTGTCTCAAATAAATTGCCGTGTCATCCTGAATTTTGTCTTTCCTAATTTTCTACATTACAAAATCATAGTATCATCATGATAATATTTGGAGCAGATTGTTGAATTATAACAGATAAATTAGAATATTTATCTTGATTATTTTTAGGCGAAAAGTTATTTCAAAAATTGTATTTGCTAGAAACCTTCCCAGTACTATACTAAATAACTTCCCAAAGTTTCATGGCGTTCCAATGAGTGGTTTGGTCAGGCATAAAGGACAGACACACATACATTCATTTATATATATATAGATATATACTTTCCTCAAAGTTTATGTCCATAGTTACTTGAATACTTTGCCAAGAAATGATCAACGTATATATAGGCAACACATCTCAATACAATGTTAGAAAGCGGTCTGAAGGAGTAAACCACTGGCAGTATTCACCACTGATGAGCCAAGATCTTCCAGTGTGTTTTTATTGCAGAAAGAACAGTATAAAGTTGGTTCATTTATAAAAGAGAAAGGATGAAAATAGCTATGCTAAAAATAGTTTCAAACATCATGTACCGATGGCGTGTTATAAAAAATATGCTTTAAAATATGTTTATTTCATTTATATAATAGAAATTAATGTTTAATATAGTAATATGTGGTAGATATTCTATTCGGAATATCATTATCAATCACGTGTGCAATGATTTCAACGTTTAAAGTTTAAATATTTGGTTAAGCTCAGACTATGGTCATGCCACATTGAAAACTCCGGGTTTAGCGTCCCATCACCAAAGTTAAGCATTGACGGCTCCGGTCAGTACTTGAAAGGGTGACCAGCGGTTTCTATTTCCAAAATGACCGCTTAATCTGATATTCCTCCATATTTTACAGAGCTCCTAAAGAAGCTGGCGAAAAAACGTAGCAAACAATTTGCCTATCTGCCGATATATTCACCATTGACCAATCAACCAGACACCTAAGATCACCCACTCTAGGCCATTTTATAAAGAATCTCAGGAAATACACTTAGGTACATCAATCACAATCCTCTTATTAGGACATGAATATGGCCAAGCTGACCTGGCCATAATAAAATAAATTCCAGATCCAACAACCTGTCCACACTGTCAAGAGGAAGAGCAAACCGTGGAGCATGCCTCTAGAAATGTCCAGCATCCAACTGCAGCGATTCCAGATTGCTGCACTACTTGGACTTTTTATTTCACCAACACTGCTCTTTTTTTTTAATAAGAAGCGAATCGGCCTAAAAACAGCTGGTGAACTAGTTCACTGCAAGTAAAATAAACACTTTTCTAGTGTTTTTTTCTGGGGTGCTGATTCCAAATCTCTAAACCTTTTTCTTCTATCATCTACATTTTACTTCTTGTCTACTTCTTGCATATCTTTTATAAGCTTATTGTCGTCTTCTTAGCTACTATTTGCCTACTTGGTGAGCATTTTCCCAATTGATGCACGTGAATATATGCTAAATATATATTTTATATGCAAAATTTGAAACGTAATTGGCATGTTGCAACATGTAATAGGTCGGAAGATTCCAGATTTAAATTCTGTCAATTTCGTTTTTTATTTTCTAGTTAATGGTTATATATATCTACTTTTATATAATTGCCTTATTCTGTCTGTGTGAAGTTCACTGTGTGAAGTTCACAGATAGATTTTGGTCATCAACGCGCGCATCATCATTATGATCATTATCTAATGATAATAATAATAATTATTATTATACTTATATCAACTTATATAATTGCCTTATTCTGTCTGTGTGAAGTTCACGGATAGATTTTGGTCAGAATGGATAAAATAAAAAAAAGTGTCAAGGGATGGGAATCGAACCCACGACCTTCCGCTTACCGGGCAGATGCCATGACCACTAGGCTACCGTGGACATATTTTTCCGTTCCTAAAGTTAATATATGATGCCAATATATATAATAATTGTATAAACGAATGCAAGACAAAATCACCGCGAATGTTTCTTTTTTTTTTAAGGCAATTTCTTTTTAAGGCAATTATCGTTTTGCACAATTACTTAATCTTTTAAAATAAATAACAATACTTAAATGAAAATATGTTTCTTTAAATAAAGATGTATTTTAAAACATTTTAAAAACACACAGTTTGGAACGGGACGTTTCACAAGAGTGACATCCATGGCGCCAATTTATAATTGTAACGAATAGTATTTGAATTAAAACGTTTTTAAAATATATACGCACTCGGGTAAAACCCGGGCGTTGCCCGGGCCATTCGTCTAGTATATATATATGATAATCTGTATATAGCAATATGTGACCCCACCACAATCTATGCAATGTATCGTCAAAAGATTTAATAATAGTTAGGCTTCGCGAAAAAGGGAATAACAATTAACAGGATTGCATCATCCAGGAAGTAAGCCCAGGACCCATAAACTAAAGTTCAAAGACCTTCTTCTTCCTGGAAGATTGCAATCATGGCAACAATGGAGGTACTAAGCCAATCACAGTTAAGCATGACAAATCAACAACCAATCACCTTTAAGCATGACCAACTAGTAGCGAATCAGAAGCAAGCACGCGGAAAGATTTCCCCCAATGAGAAGCAGAGAAAGTTAATGACGATGATCTCGGGCAAGAAGTTAAAGAGAAGGTAGGTGACCGGCTAGAAGCAAGGTGTGCTCAACTTAGGCTCCAACCAAGGTAGTGTCCTCTCGATCATGTGAAAGGCAAAGTACCTCCTCCAGTCTCATCACTTTCTCCCTTTCGCAAAGTCTATTTTCTATCCCATCCAGGTGTGCTCGTATTTCCCTTGTGAAAATCCACCATTCGACCAAGACTGCGCCACCAATTCAACATAATCCGACAAAGGATTCTCACCACAATTCACCAGGACTCAACAGGATCCCACAGTAAGTCGACAGGATCAACCCGAATATTATAGAGAGTCGACAGAATCCAATCGAATTATTATATATATATAGGGATGTTTCCTGTAAGGCCTTTTCACAGCACATTTTCGTACTAAAATAACAAGTTTTTAATGGTTGTTCATTGAAAAAGTAAGAGCCATTCTGAAACTTACAGTATGTGTTGTGTTTACGAGGGTTACTCTAAAAGTTTTGCATACAAGTAAAATACGACTGATAAAAATTTATTTTTCTCAAAATAATCACTTTTACACCCAATGCATTTTTACATCCTTTGAACCCATTTTATACAATTTTTTTCCACTCTTCTGGGCCCATGACATTAAGTATCTCCAGGTAACGCTACATAGCAGCATCAGGACTTGTAAATTTGATTACATACAAACTTTCTTCAACTTTTGAAAACGAATAAAATTCACAATGAGCAAGATCAGGGCAGTATGTTGGGTGTCCAAACTGTGCAGAGTATTAGGCTCATAGATTGTTGAGCTCTGGAAACCAAAAGGAGTAATACTCTGCTAGTGATCTCTTTTGACTTGTATATATTAAATATAATATAATAGGAAATAAACTAATGCTTAGTTAATCTTGCCTCGTCTTGGATAACAACACATGGTGGCAGCGGTAAACTGAATTCATAAGGAAGGTCGTTGTTCGAAGAAAATTTGAAATTCGACATCAAGCAAGCTTAGAAGCGGTAAACTGAATTCATAAAGAAGGTCGTTGTTCGAAGAAAATTTGAAATTCGACATCAAGCAAGCTTAGAAGCGGTAAACTGAATTCATAAAGAAGGTCGTTGTTCGAAGAAAATTTGAAATTCGACATCAAGCAAGCTTAGAAGCGGTAAACTGAATTCATAAAGAAAGTCGTTGTTCGAAGAAAATTTGAAATTCGACATCAAGCAAGCTTAGAAGCGGTAAACTGAATTCATAAAGAAGGTCGTTGTTCGAAGAAAATTTGAAATTCGACATCAAGCAAGATTATGTTATCCAAGACGGAGGGACAGCCAAGACCAGGATCCAGAGAAGAGCCTCCCTTCAATGCCAGCCGTGCATACAAGATATGGAAGGGCAGTCAAGATACCTCGAAGGTTCCTGTAAAGTTAAGGGAGGAGATGTGCAGAGTATTAGGCTCATAGATTGTTGAGCTCTGGAAACCAAAAGGAGTAATACTCTGCTAGTGATCTCTTTTGACTTGTATATATTAAATATAATATAATAGGAAATAAACTAATGCTTAGTTAATCTTGCCTCGTCTTGGATAACAACACACAAACAACTGATTTGGAAAGAAGGATTTAATAACTTAGCCGATCCCCTTACTAAACTCACACTGTCCTAGCACATTTTGACCCTCAAGAGCCCCAACCTGTATTCACACAGATGCGTCAAACGTCGGACTAGGTGCAGTCCTAGTGTAAAATATTGATGGACACGAAAAGGTATTGTCATATATCAGTATGACCCTAACTAAATCAGAACTTAATTACTCAACCACAGAGAAAGAATTTTTAGCAATAGGAGGTTTAGGCAATATCCCAATTACAGCCTTATTGTCATGGTAAGCAGTTTAGAGTGATAACAGACCATCATGCACCCTGCTGGCTTAAAAACCTGACAGATCCTACTGATAGACTAGCAGATGGGCTCTAAAAATCCAATAGTGTGACTTTGAGTGATACACAAGTCTAGGAAGAAACAGTTAGATGCCGACTGACTATCAAGAGGACCGTGGCATGAAACTGAACCTGAAGACGATTGTGATTTCGTAGGCCCTCTTCCATCCACTAAATCTAGGAAAAATAGATAGCGGTTTTGATAGACTACCATAAAAAATATACAGAGATAAAAGCTGTTACAGATGCCATAGCAATAGAAGTCGCTAAATATCTTGTAGATGGTGTTTTTCTTAGGCCCAGAGCGCCTCGTTATCTGATAAGCGATAGAGGCTCACAGTTGACAAGCAACCCTCCTGAAGGAAATCATAAAAGTTTGCAGAGTAAAGCATTGCTTTACTACCAGCTACCACCCGCAAACAAATGGATAAACAGAACGTTTGAACAGAAAACTAATCACCATGTTGAGCATATATGTAAATGTGAAACAGAAATATTACGTTCATTACCCATGCAAACACTTAGACTTTGCAAGAAACAACTGGATTCTCGCCATTTTTTTCTTCTAAATGGCAGAGAGCCAGTGTCTCTGCTAGACAACATCCATGTCGAAATCGAGACTAACGCCAGTGATTATTATGAATACATGAATGACCTACTGAAGAAAGTTCAGAATTTCAGGGAATTATAGACGTCCACAACACGTAAAAAGTGAATGAATAAATATTACAATGAAGAACAACGCGATTGCAAATACAACATAAGATATTTGGTAGGCATATGCACACCAATAAAGAAAATAGGGGAATGCAAAAAGCTTCTAAGAAGATACTTTGGACCATACATAATATCAGAAAAATTATCAGAAGTGAACTATCTAGTAACATTTAAAGATAAACCCAACATAGACCTCTACCATTATCTTGGACTCAAGTTGAAATTCAAAATGCATGTCGAAATACCATAAGGAAAGCAAAGATAGCAAAAATAACAATATCAAGTCTATTTTTAACTATGGAAGCAAATTATCTACAAGACAAAAGTTTACTCTATACAGAAATTGTATTCTCCTGAAATTGTATTCTCCTGATATAATAACAAAAGCACTCCTAGTTTGGTGCAAATATATTACAACCACAGACAAGAATAGAATAAACGTATTCATGAAAATATGCCTTGGGACAATTATAGAAATTCCATTCAACCTATCAAACAAGATACTGAAGAAAGACTTAAACCAACCCATCTAGAAGATATGTACCAAATTTCAGTAAAGAAATTATACCTTCAACAACAAAATTCGACT